TACAGATCTATGTACAATCATTATGTACATGTAAACTTATTCCAAATAAATGATAATGTGAGTGTACGGTATTGGGTTGGGGGTGTTGTTAGGATAGAACATAGCCTCTCGTGACACAAAAAGAAAAAAAGTACATGTGACATGAGATATATATAGTAGGTCGATATGAAACATCGTGATTGAAATAGAAATGTCAAAAATAAGTGTTCTAGTTGGATGATTAAACAGGACATATGACATCAAAAAGAATACATGAGACATTATACATGTATAAATTGGTTGACATGAAAGACCGTTGTTTTGATAGAGGTTTCAAAACTTGAATTAGTGTTAAAGTTTAGATAGTCTAACATGACGCGGTGATATGAAGAAAAATAATGTGACGTGACAAAATAGGCCGATGTGAAAACCCACGTTTCAGATAACAGCTATCAAATGTGTTCAAGATTAAATAAATAAATACACACAAACAATAAAATACTATGAAATCAATTTTTTTTTAAAAAAAATTTCAAAGTAAATATATATTTGTTAATGAGATTCATTATCAAATGCAATTTAAGTTAAATTTGAAAATTAAATAAATGAAAAGATGGAAGTGAATATTATAATTTAGTTAGTTGGGATTCAAAATCATATATTTGGCTTGTAAAAGGTTTTGATGGGCATTTTAACCTTTTATTTTTTGCTTTATCACTATTCCACATTGGAAGTTTATGAAAACACATAAAAGAAGTGAATTTATAATACCACTATTCTACGTTGAAAGTTTATGAAATCATTTGAGAAAAATGCATCTATAAAAAGAGCATGCCATCCAAAATTCATCTGTGGACCTTTGATAATTATAGTGTATGAGGCACATTAATGAAAAAAAAAAGCTAAAATTTTTTTAATTAAAAATTAGTGAAACTGCCATCAGGTCACCGGTTATAGGGATGGATACAAGATCGAATTACATGTCGGGCTAATATGTAAAAAAAAATGAAATTGCAGTTAAACTGTTAGATTCGACGGGTTTTGAATGATTTTTGTACTAGTTGTTTAACCAGGCATGATTGACCCAATTTTGGATCCGGTTACCGGTTGAACCAGTCAGGTCGAACTGGTTTTGATAACGCTGCTCAAGCTTTATCTCTAAATATTTCGTTTTCTCTTTTCTTTATTCTTTAGAAAACGAATCGAAATCATTTTGTCACTTCACTTCTCTTGTTATGCTGTATTATTAAGAGCATGTTTGTTTTTTATTAAAATTTGATTTTAATCTAAGTCAAAATCAAACAATCAATATTAACATCTTTAATGGGTCTCACAACTTTTCAACCACACATTTCATAAACTTGTATCACAATCTACTAAAAATCTAATTGCAATCCTCACCAAACACCTTTTAAAAGTTTTATCAGAGTTCAATGAACATCGTAACGCATGAATTGAATATTATGCCCCTATTTGGTTTGGATTAAAATTCAATTAAAATCTCGAATCAAAATTAATAATTAATTTCAACCACACATTTTATGGGATCTCACAACTTTTCAATTACACATTTCATCAATTTTTATCGAAATCTATTAAAAATTTGATTTTAATCTGTAACAGACAGGGATTATAATATCTCAATTTCTCCAAACAATTCATCAGACTTCCTCATTCACTGCCCCTAATATCATCATCAATGACGAATTCATCAAGTTATTCAAATTATAATAACTTGTGTTTAATTGTGGGAAAAAAAATCTTAAAATAAACAATTTGTAGTCAATGGAAAGTACAAACTAGCACAAGGGCATACCACCAGCCACGCACGCGTGGCCTATTTCTACTCCTTTTTCACCTGAAAATGTCGTTGATGTCACGCGGAACACAGCTAAATACACATGACATGTACTTCCACGAACCTAGAAATCAGTAAAATTTGCAGGACCAAATTGTCTTTTTCCTCAGTTAAAAAAAATCGCCATTTTTATCCGTGCCTAATTAGAATACTGTCTCACACGTAAATTTGATCAGAGGACCCATTTAGCTCATCACATTAAAAATTCCGTTATCATTTTTTACTCATTTTCAATTATATATTCTTTAATAAAATAATATTTTTCATCACGTCAATAACTTTTCATTCATTTTCAACCACACATTCTCCATCAATCTATTATTTCAAAATACATTCTTCCAAAATAATGTGATTCAAACACACTCTTATTCACGAGTGGCGATGCAACATCCGATTTGAAGGAACCAGGTTGAGCAATTTATAAAGGTTTGAGCTATTTATCTTAATAAGAATGACCTTTTAAGATGGAACCTTGAATCTTAACATGGTATTAGAATCTCTCAAACGAACAATTCGATCCGATTAAAACTCAAAAAAATTGAGCACACAAATTTCATGATTTCTCTGCTGAAACGAGCCACCATCTTGAGGGGCATATTAAGAAATAAAATCTCACATCGAATAAAAATAAAAATATAGACGAATTTATAAGGATTTGAGCTACTCATCTTAATAAGATTGACCTTTTAAGATAGAACCACAAATTTTAACATCGTGTTCCATGGAAAATAACGTGCTAGCTAGCTCAATAGTAATCAATACATATGTTTGTGACACAACTGAACTGGAGATTCCGGACTACACCTTTATGGCTGTAACTCGCTAAGACACACCACGTGGTTTTTTTTTCTTCGAAAAAAGAGACAAAAACCTATCCAAATTAAAGGTTAAAAATTCATCGGATCTAGCCCGGCTCAGGTCAATGCTAACAGTCTTCGTCGGCCAAGGTCAAGCTGCCCCAAAATGGGCTTTCTTTTATAGCTTGAAGTTCAACACGGCGCATAAG